CGCATGCGGCTCTTTGAATATATACAATTTACAAAATTTCAAAATTTTTAAACAACCATCCAATTTTTTTTTCTTGCCAATAATTAACTGTACCTAATTCTCAACGATTTTTAAATGTTTCTTTCTTTTATTTGTTTTATTAAACTCTTTTAACTAAAGAGCCGCAGATTGCCGACCCCTCAACTCTATTTCATTCTCTCTAACCCTTTTGCCCACCCCTATCATCCTTTAACTTACTTTATCGTTGTTTTGTTTTTTTTTTTAATCTATCTTTTACTCTTCTACATCTTTCACTCTCTATCTTTCACTCTTTCTAACTAATTATCATTTACACCCCCCAATCCTCATTCCCATCCCCCTATCTCACTTTTTTCTGTCTCTAATTTCCTTTTATACATTCCTGAGTTAATTATTTGTTCTATTATAGGTACCCTATTGTTCCATTGCACAAATGAGCTTAGAGAAAACGCGAGTAATCACAAAAAAAAAAAAAAAACAATGCCGAAAAATCGCAATACCCTGTGTTTATGTTTTTTTAAAATTAAATCGCAAGAAAACAAAAAATAAAATAAATAAAATTACTATGAAAATAACGTTAATCGAGTTATTTTCCTTTTTTTTTTTTTTTTTTTAAATATCTGTTAATAAAAATTTCGACAAAATTTCCTAATACGAGATATATATATATATATTTATTCGTTATTATTATTCACAGTGAATTTGTTATATTTCGCAAAATAAATTTCTTTCTTTTTTTTTTTTTGTTATTCTATTTATATCCTGTAAAAATCTATTTTAAAAACTACTACGCAAAAATTTGGACAAGATTGTTTTTTTTTCTTCTAAAAATTAGAAATTATATTATACTGTAATCTATATATATATATACTGTATCTATATATATATATATATGTATGTATGTATGTATATAAATTATTTTTCATGAAAATATTAAAAATATGTATATATATATAGGGTGATACATTTATAATCAAGCAAATCGAATGCTCAATGATATATCAAAATTTAATTGCAATTATTACAGAAACTATTTTTCTCTTCTTTTATTTTATTTTTTTTTTTAAACTTGGAATTACTTTTTCAAATATAATTAACAAATTATCTAATATCAGTCTAATCAAGAAATTTATAACGCGATATATATATATATATTATTATAATATACTAGACGTATTTAATTGTTATAAACAATACGGACATTAAATATTAATGAAATTATAGAATAGAAGAAGAAAAAAATTAGCTGTATATTATTAATGTAAGTACGTTTTAAAAGAAAATAAACGAGAAAAAGGAAAAAAGAAAGAGAAAAAAGAAAAAGAAAAAGAAAAAGAAAAAAAAAATACAAAAATCACAAAAATCTTATACTTAATAAATAGTACACATTTATATAACCATTCTATTAAACATTTACTAACTCTCTCTACAATTATTTATATATATATATATGTTAAATATATTGCAACATTTAAATAATCATTGTACTAACTACGGTTATTGGTGCGTCTCACGTTTTTAACCCTCCATCCATCCCCTTTGTTGTTTTTTATTCTCCTACCATGAATTGAAATGTTGAATAGAAATACCTTTTTTTATTTCTATGATACAATAAAAAAAAAAAAAGACTAGAAAGTTTGTTTAATTAATTAATTGATTAATTATTGAAAGACACTAAACAATTATACCATAAATTGATAGAACATGAAAATTAATTGAAAAAAA